AGTCCCGTCAGTCCGCTGGGGTATACCCCAGCCATTGTCTGTTTTCAGTCTCATTCCTCACTTGTACATTTTGGAGTACGTGCGTTGGAGTCTTGCGTGGGGAGCTGCGTTGTGCCATCTTGCTCCCCCTTCTTCCTCCATCTCCATCTCTGTCACTAGCGGAGCACCACACCTGGTGGGTCCGCTACATTGGTATCGGAGCGGGAACGATCCCCGCCCCCACCCACCACACCGCACAGCAGGGAAATACGGCAAAACCCGACAATCGGGTTTTCGGCTGTTTTTTGGGTGTTTTCGGGCAAAAACCGGGAAAAACAACGAAAAAAGGTGCTGCAGCCGGAGAACTCCACGTGGTGAAAAAGGAAGTTGCATGACGACGCGTGCGCCAAGGCCAAGGCCGCCGCACGTGCGCGCCGCTGCCCCGCCCCGCCCCGCTTCGCTCCCGGATTTATATTATTAAAATCCGGGATGCAACTGCTGATGCTGGGGTTTGAACCCAAGCACTTGCCAAGCCATGCACGTGTGTAAACAGCCTCATAACACACTCACCACAGTATGTCTATGGCTTTGTAGCATGGCACACTCGTGTTCTAGAGGTGCTGTGCTGGCTATTTACCCCCCCCCCCCCAAGGCTGCTGCTGCCTGTGCACGTGGCCATCTCCACGGCCACGTGGCTGAAGACCCCCCTGCTTAGGGGGCTGCTCTACARTGGAGAGGGTCTGCTCACACAGCAGACCCTACATCTACACATCTGCAGAAGTGCTGCTGGGGGCTGATCAAGATCTCAGCCCCCTCTCTCCTCCAACTGGCTGTTGCAGCAAAGACCAAGACCCTCCTGGTTTTGGTGTACCTTGTGCCCTTGGAGACACCAAGGGCCAGGTATCACTCCCTTCTCCCCTCTCCCTCTACTAACCCACTCTCCCTACCTCTCCTCTCTCCTCTTACTCACCCCTTCTCTTTCCCCCACCTTCCACTGCATCTTTTCTCTCCTCTTTTTATCTTCCCCACCCCACCTTTCTCCCAACACCCATTCTTTTACTCTCTTTCTTTTATTTATTTATTTTCTTCCTCCTTCTTTTCTCTTTGCTTCTTTATCCTGGTTCACCTTTCCCCATCTCTCCTCTCCCCCAACTACCACCACCCCATCCCCCTACCTCCCACTTCATCTTTTTCTCTCCCCCCACCTATTTCTTTGTTTTCTCCCTCACTTTTCATTCCCCTTCCCCCCTACTTCGAAAATTTCTCTGTTTTTCTTCTTTCCACTTCTCTTTTGATTTATTTATTCTGAAAAATTTGATTTTCTCTACGGCAACCCTAAATCTGATTAGTTGTTAGTTTTCTCATCTTCTTCCCACCCTCTTTTCTTATTTTTTCTGATTTATTTTATTTATTTTTACTTATTCTAAAAATTCTTAGCGGCAACCCTAAATCTGATTAGGTGTTAGCCTTTCTTGCTTTCGACACACGTTTTGACCTCGTGGGGGTAACGAAGTGCTCCCGAAATTTTCTGATTTTCTCTTACTTAGTCTTTTCGGCACACTTCCACCCCATGGGTGAGGGTAACGAAATGCTGCCAAAATTTTTAAAAAATCAGATAACCCATTTCTCCTCACCTCCTCACACACTTATTTACTTATTTATTTATTTATTATTTCTTATTTATTTTCTAAAATTTCTTTTTATTTATTTATTTGCGGCATCTCTAGTGTGCACACCTCGGTCTCTCCTTTTTCCTTGGCACATTCTTGACCCCATGGGAGGTAGGGAAATGCTGCCAAAAAAATAAATATTGTTTCTCTTCACATCTTTTTAGTTATTTTTTTAATTATTTTTATTATTTATTATTTTCTTATTTATTTTATTTCCTCTCGAAATCTCGCTGTTCATTTATTTTTCTTCCGTCTCTCCCCCCCCCCCAATGCTTGCTTTTTTACTTTCTTGATTAGGTCACCGGTACCCGACCCTAGCCTTAAACCTCGGTTAGGGTTTTCTTAGGGGTTTTGTAGGGTCTAGGGTTCCTCAAACCCCCCCCTACTTCCCCGTCCTCTTCGGGCACCCTGGACCCGAACCACCCCTCCCCCTTTGACAGCGCCCGTGCTAGCCTTGCTAGCGCCGTTCGCCGCTTTCTACCGCAGACTTCCCCCTACGCCCTCCGCTCACGCGGACCTCTTCTAGTTCCCTCCAGTCCGGTCCGTCATCTCCCCATGGCCGACGGTGCGTCACACGCCGTCGACACGGCGATGACCACGGCATCGGGCTCCACACCCGTGCCGGCGGACCAGGGCCATCAGCCCCAGGGGGATCTMCACACCCTCCTCACCTCCCTCCTTGCGCCCATCCAGGCGCAACTCGCGACCCTCGCGCCCATCCAGGCGCAACTCGCAACCCTCGGGCCCTTACAGGCGCAGGTGGCGACCCTTGCCGCTGGCATGCAGCAACTCCAGGACGCTGGTCGTCCTTCCTCTCCTCATCCTCTCTCTTCTCCTGGCTCTCAGTCCGGGTCCCCAGTTCTCCGACAGGGTGGCCACGGCGGAGTTTCCTTCTCTGCCGCCCCCGTCCCGGCCATTTTGGTGACTGTCCACGCCCCTAACTCGACGGCCGCCACAAGTCAGGCCCTTCCTCAGTCTACGGGCGCACCGGCCCAAATTCCGGTTACGACGGCCACGGGACCACAACCCGTTACCATGGTCTCAGCGTTTCCGGGTGCCCCGCTCCTCCCCCCCCTTTGCACGACCGCAACGCTACCTGGCTCTCCCCCCTCTAGGATGCCCCGCGCCGCTTGTGCATCCACTTCCTCCACTCTTCCCCCTGCTACCCCTCGCACGACCTACGTTCGAGGTCTCGAGGACGAGATTGCCCAGCTCTGGGCCAACCTCGCCCTCTTACGCCTTCAGCCACCCCCACCCTCACAGGTGGCCGCGCCTTCAGGCGCACCCCATATCTCCTCTACCCTTCCTCCCATGCAGGCTCGCTTTCCGCGCCCTGCACCCAATACAACTCCTTCCTACTCCCGCGGTTGCTGCGACCTCTTCTACCGCAGCACCCTCGCAGCCTGCAGCTGTTGCCACCGCCGCTCCCCCATGCGGCCCGGGTGCACAGTCAGCTGCGCCCCTTTCTCCAGGACCTGCGCCGACTTACTCACCCGTGGCACATGCCTCCACTCCTCGATCCCCTCGCCGCCAAAACGGCGGCGCACCACTCATCCGCTTGTCGGACATTGCCTTGTATGACGGTACAGGCATACGCGTGTCTCGGTGGCTGCAGTCTGCCACCCGCACACTCCAGCTCATAGGCGCCACACCCGAGACGTGGGTGGGTCACCTCTCCACGTGCCTGCGTGGCTGTCCTTTCGAGGATTGGGAGGATGTCTATGCCTACTCCCTTAGTGAGGGTCGGACTCCGACCTTCGTGGATTTCCAGGCGTTCCTCGAGGATCGCTTCGGAGCCCGATACGACGTGACTGACGCCTTCGAGCGTGTCGTCACTACACGTTGGTCCGACTCTGGTGGCGCTGCCAGCCTCGATCGCCATATCCAGGTCTTTCAGGACGCCCCCCTCGTTTGCGACGTGGCGTTCCTCCCCGAGGCTGCCCTTATCGATCGTTTCTTGGCCAGCCTTCCGCTCGAGTACCGCTCCGAGCTATGGCGGTACGAGTTCACATCGGCCCCAYAGGCTTACGAGGCCGCCAGGGACCACCAGCAGATGCGAGCCCGTCTTCACCCCGCCTCCTCCTCCCAGCCCCAGCGCACGGGCTACGCCTCCTCCTCCTCTCACG